ACAGCTTTAATCAACTTCACTTAATGCCACATATTTTATGAACAGCTGCCAGGAGTTAAATAACTCCAACAACTATTATTGATTCTTTCTATAAAATATCAGAAAATGATGCAACGCTTCTTTTCTCCTGACGCAACAAACATGTCACATTTAAAACGATCCATAATTCTCTTTGTGAAACTGAAAAGATTAAAGCGACGTCATCAAATGTCTGCGCCAAATACAGTTTTAAATTTACTCCAACATATTATAAACTACATTTTCTGACTGACTCTGTTTAAACAATGAGGGAGAATCTGAAGAAACAGGCGGAGGATCTAATTTAAGGTGGATTATTGCTCGTAATGTTTCTGTAATTTATTAATAACTTCTGCTTCGTCACTGCGCTCATCTTCTCTCTCCTGGCTTTATAAAATCACCTTTACATTGAATATTAAATGCTATTAAATCGGTTACATGTCTGTTTTTTTCATAAGTTATGATAGAAAAGGTTTTAACATAAACTCTGCTGATACTAAAGTTTCCGTACGTTTCTATTCTTCATACTAAACAGAAACAATCCCCTTTGTTTCATTCAGTAAACTTCTCAAGCACTAAATATCATCTGAACACAAGCAGTTATAAATAATTAATGAACCAATAAAAACGTCTAAACTGATGCAATAAGGAAAGAAAGGTTTTCTTACTTCTCCCTCAAACACAACCTCACAAACCACTGATTGCAGGACCCTCGCTCCTTCCACAGGAGTCAATGTTTAGCCGTTAAGTTCTGCAACACTTTAACATCTCCGGTGCAGCTGGCCCACTTCTCTCTGCGCGTTACATCTCGCCCCACTTCCTGAAGACAGTTTAAAAGCCCTGAGCGAACATCAGGAGAGTTTGGTGGAGAGAAGAACAGAAACTGATTTTAAAGAGACGGATGATAAACTGGCTCTTTAAAGTTTCCGGTCCTACTGGCGTCTTCTCGAACAAACAATGATGATGTTGGAGACTTTAAAAAGGTGATGGAATCACAGTAAGTGGTTTCAGGGCGGCGACAGTTACACTAAATCACTTATTGATTCATTAATTATTGTCTCTGCTGAATTCATTAAGACTCCTGGACACTTAATGAGTCTTTGTTTGACTTCTGAGCATCCAGAACTCTAATTTAGAAATCCACAGTGCGTACAGAACAGCAGGAGATGAGATAAGTAACTTCACTTCTAGTAAAATACTTTAAGTTATCTTTTTATACACGTGTTTGATGGAGAATCCCGACTTTGAGCCCTCAAACCGGAGTTAAACTACCGGCCGCCCTCGGTTGTAAGTTACACGGCAACAGAGTTTAATTCAGTAAAGCATTAAGAAAAAAAACTGAGCAAGAGATAAAACTATAGAGACAAACTATAAAGCAACTATGTGGAATAAGTGATGGATAGTTGTGATGTGATACGTAACCGTGTTGCTCTCTTTGTTACGATCTCAGATCTCTCTCACGTTTCGTCCCGCCGCTCGCTGCCGGCCGGCGGAACCACTGTGAATATTCAGAAAGATGATGAGCTGTGTGATTCCTCAATCTGAACCAAGCGTTAATTATTCCCCCTCCTTTCAGCAGCTGTAAATTAAACACAATGTGTGTGCAGCAGCGGGATGTTGCCACGCCGACCGCTCGGTAAACGCTCTCTGCTTCGCTGAGGAAGCGACGCTGCGGCGGGAATCGACAAAACAAGTCAACAAACAATCTTTGTAACAACAACAACAACAACAGCCAAGAGTCTTCCCGAGGAAAAGAAGATTGAGGAGGAGTTGAACTGTGTGTAACTGTAATAAGAGCGTGAAACACCTGTGGCTGCTCTCTGTTTATAATTAAATGACCAGCGATGAGTCCAACCGTCTGTCAAAGCTTTAATCCAAACGTCTGCCGGGACACAAAATGGGTCATTTAAAGAAAGCAGACACATAAAAGAGGCAGACTGACTGACGGTCACTTTCTGTCAGAGAGGAAGAGGAGTCTGTTTGTTCCTGAAGGTTGAGAACAGTCAAACCCACGTCCCCCTGCTGACGTCAACACCTGAGACTCTCCGAGCCGCTGGTGAAAGCCCCCAACATCCGG